TCTCCAAAAATTTGATCAAGTTAGTTAGACACGATTTCCCATGAACAGAGCCATGTTTACTATACCTAGTCAGTCCTTACCTTTCCACATCCATGTAAATTTTGTCCCTCAGAATCACCTCCAAAGACTTGCCCATCACTGATGTCAGGCTCACCGGTCTATATTTCCCTGGCTTTTCCTTACCACCTTTCTTAAATAATGGCATCACGTTAGCTAACCTGTGCTTCTTCCAGCACGTCACCTGTGGCTACTGATGATGCAAATATCTCAGCAAAAGACCGAGCAATCACAAGGGAAGGATTAGGTATCGTTAGAATGGTTTAGGTATGATTAGAATGGTTTAGGCTGGTACAATTATAACATTTGAAAGACATCTGCATGGGTATATGAACATGAAGGGTTTAGAGGGAAATGGGCCAAATGCTGGCAAATGGGACTATATCAATTTAAGATATTTGGTTGGCATGGATGAATTGGACCAAAGAGTCTATTGCCATGCTGTACATCTGACTTCAAGTGTAGAGGCTTTCTCACTCCACAAGGGGCAAGACACCCCACCCCCCTCCAAAAAAAACTCTCAGGACAGGTGGAGGGGCAGCATCGAACCACTTACCGCCCAACCTCCCACGGTCGGGGCGGAATCACCCCCAAAGTCTGGGGTAAGGGTAGGGGCTGGGGCTGGGGCTGGGGCTGGGACAGAAACATCCTTACTCACACATCCCACCCTCAGGGCGGTAGCAGCCGCCTAGGGCCACTCTACCTTGGCTGCCTTGTTGACGGCCTCCTCGTTGCCCCGCTGATAGATGAACACGGACACCGGCTGCTCTTCCTCCAGAACCGCCCGATAGACGCTGAGACCGGCGGGCAGAGTGACCGGCGGCTCTTCGAGCCGGCAGCTCCGGGCCGCACTGCTCTCTGCGCCCATATCCTGAAAAAGCGGAGCGGCCGAATCCACTGGGAACCCGGACAACAATCTCCAAAGTGACCCCGCATATCCGGCTGACCCGGAAACACAGGTTACACCCCGCCCGCATGCGCAGTGTGAGGCGAGTGCGCAGGAGTAGAAGCTTGAGACGTTGCTGTTAACAGCCAGTTGTTCTCACAGGGAGAGAGTTTAGTAGCAAAACCCCAACAACGATGGCTCCTTAAAACAAAGAACTGCGGATGCTGGAAATCTGATACAAAAGCTGCTGGAGAATCTCCGCAGGTCTGGCAGCATCTGTGGAGAGAGAAAGTGGAGTTAAGCGGTCCGGTGACCCTTCTTCAGAATGAGGCTTCCTCGACATCGCACTCATTTTCTGTTCATCTCCCTTTCTTCCTCATTGAGAAAACCCCTGAGAATATGCTCAGGCCCATCTATCAAGGTTTAAGAGAAGAGAGGATAAATCATTTATAGTCGTTGATTCATGCAACGTGGAGATGTAGACACCTCTAGACGGTAGAACGAAGTGAGCACGGTGTAATCAGTTGTTTGAATTCCTTGAACGACTGTACGTAAATAGTGCAATAAGTCTTAACTTCAAACGGCAGGGAAAGGAAAAACAATGAGATCACTTAGGATAGTTCATTTGGAACTTTAAAGGATGGAAGTTCAAAGGCACATTTATCTGAAATGAAATAAAAATCTGAAAAAGGGAAAGACTTGAAAGTGTAGAGGAAGCTTTCCAACACTAAAAGGTTTTTAAGCTACTCAGGTGTAAACCTGTGTTTGGGACCAGTGCCCATTTGTCAATATTTGGCAACAGTCGGTGCATCTTACAGGCGACCTTGATAAAGATATTTTTCATATTGACAGTTCTGGGTAAGTCACAGGATTCCAATGTTTTACAGGACTGTTTCGGTCATCTGAGAGTCAGAGGGAAAACAAATGCATATTTGTAGCACAAATTAAAAATATCCTAACAAATTTCTTCATAATTTAGGATGCTACCAAAAATCACTCGAGACTGTAAATACAGTATTGCAAATTTAGATTGGATAGTTTAATTGTTACTGTAGACACTGGAGTTTAAAGTGGCAAAATGTAAAAGTAAACACAAACTCTGCTTTTCCTGAAGAATACTTTTTCCCTTGATTGTCCAAGTGCAATACCTTGGGAGTTTGACTAATAAGTTCAAATGCTGAGTATCAGCCTGATCAATTATAATGTTTACTACCTTACACAGAATTAGAATTAGCTTTATTGTCACATATACTGCACTTGGCAGTGCCATCTTAGGTATCTTGGTACCTAGGCATAGATTATTAGGAATAAGTTAGAAAAATGCAAAATCATAGGAATAAAATAAAGGAATAAAAAATTCTAAACTACAGACTTTTCACCACATTCTGCCCCAGCACTTAGCCTCCAGACCACAAAAAGAATATAAAAATGAAATTACATAAATAGAGTTCAATTTCTCAACAAGGGGTCTACAAACACAAATATAGGGCTTTGAAGTAACGTATTCACTCCTGGGTAATGGACAAAATCTTAAGCACAGAAGTTCATAAGACATTGAAGCAAAATTAGGCCATTCGGCCCATTGATTTTGCTCCACCATTCAATCAATGATCTGTTTCTCAACTCCATTCTCCTGCCTTCCCCATAACTCTCAATCCCCTTACTAATCAAGAACCTATCTATCTCTGTCTTAAATACACTCAATGACTTGGTCTCTACAGCCTTCTACTGCAATGAGTTGCACAGATTCACCACCCTCTGGCTGAAGAAATTCCTCCTCATCTTAGTTCAAACAATTTGACCCTTCAGTTTGAGGTTGCGTCCTCAGGTCCTAGTCTCTCCGACCGGTGGAAGTATCTCCACATCCACTGTTTCTAGGCCTCTCAGAATTCTGTAAGTTTTAATGAGATACACCCCCCATTTCCTTCTAAACTCCATGGAATACAGACCCAGAGTCCTCAACTGCACCTCAAAAACAAGCCCTTCACACCTGGATCATTCTTGTAAACCTCCTTTGGATCCCCTCCAAGGCCAGACATCCTTCGAACTGAACTGCACGTTAACCTTAGGAGAATCCTGAACCAGGAATCCTAAGACCCTTTGTGCTTCAGATTACTGAAGGCTTTCCCCATTTAGAAAATAGTCTCTATTCTTCTTACCAAAGTGCATAACCTCACACTTTCCCCACATTGTATTCCATCTGCCACTTCTTTTCTCACTCTCCTATCTTGCCCAAGTCCTTATGCAGCCACCCCACATCCTCAACGCTACTTGTCCCTCCACCTATCTTTGCATCATTGGCAAATATACCAACAATGCCCTCAGTTTCTTCATCTAGATCATTAATGTATAACATGAAAGGTTGTGGTCACAACACTGATCCCTGCAGAATCCACCAATCACTGACTGCCATATTGAAAAAGACTCCTTTATCCTGCTTTCTGCCAGTCAGTTAGTCTTTTATCCACATCAGTACCTTGTCCCTAACACCACGGGCTCTTATTTAGCAGCTTCCTGTGCAGCACTTTGTCAAAGATCTTTTGGAAATTCAAATAGATCATATCCACTGGTTCTCCTTTGTCTAACTTCTTTTACCCATGCACTTCCAAGTACTCCGCAATCTCATTCTTAATAATACTGTAAAATCTTAACAAAGACCGAGGTCAGGCTAACCAGCCTATAATGTCCTGTCTTCTACATCCCTCCCTTCTTAAACAGGCATGTTACATTAGCCATTCTCCAATCCTCTGGGCCCTCCCTGATTCCAGTGATTCCTGAAAGATCACCAGCAATACCTTCACAATATCCTTCATAACTTTAGGGTGTAGTCCATCTGGTCCAGGAGATTTATACATCTTCAGACCTTTCAGCTTCTCCAGCACCTTCTCCTTAGAGATGGCCACTACACTCACCTCTGTACCCTGACTCTTGAAGTTCTGGTATGCTACTCGTGTCTCGCACCGTGAACGCTGATGCAAAATATCTAATCAATTCCTATTACTTTTCTTTGTTTCACATTACTATTTCTCCAGTCATATTTGTTGGTAATCCAGTGTCCACTGTTGTTTCTCATTATTTTATCCTACTTGATAGCTTACCCTCAAATTTCATTTTCTCCTTCCTGTTGCTTTTATAGTCATCCTCTGCAGTTTTTAAACCTCTGGCTTCCCACAGTATGCTTTTTCTTTTGCTTTTATGCTGTCCCTCACTTCCCTTGTCAGGATGGTTGCCTCGCCGCCGCCCACCCCACGACCGTTTCTTCTTCCTTGGGATGAATTTCTGCTGTATCTCCCAAATAATCCCCAGAAGCCCCTGCCATTGTTGCTCTATCGTCTTCCCTGCGGAGCTTCCCTTCCAATCACCTCTGGCCAGCTCCACCCTCAGGTCTTTGTAGTTACCTTTACGAGAAGTCCTTCATATGCAATTATATTGATTTTTTTTTTTTTAAAAGTCATTATTGTGAAAGATAAGTTTTAATTTTAAAGTTTTTAAACTATTTAAAATATTTATCAGTCCTAGGAACCAGCCCTTCAAGCCACTGCATCAAAATCTGTTTTATAATTTGTATTTTTCAGATGATTAATTTTATACAATATGTACTTTGTCTATTCTTTGAAACCAAAATATTACTGACACTGATATCAACACTTTAGTTATAAAGTTCAATTTTAATTATTCCTTTTACAAATATTGATGTGAGTACAAGATATGTAACAGAATAAACAGCATATTCATTGACTCAACATGAACTGTGGCTGCTGGTACATGTGAAATGGTCTTGCATGTTTATTTCACACTTCAAATTCCTTGTTGCTAATGTAAACAAGTGTTTAAAAATTACAGGAATGGCCCGTCTGCCAGAATACAAATGCTGGGCAGGAGGTAGATATTTACAAGTTGTTGCAATTATCTGAGTTTTCAAATTTAGATTGCCTTTTACATGAGGCATTTGGCCTGAACGTAGAGCAAGGGCGAAGTGGGGAGCGTGAGGTGGTGGTTTGAAGGTGAAAAGCACGTGCGCGGGCGCGGGAACGGCACGGGCACGCGCAGCGGTTACGTCAGTTGATTGCGGGAGGCGGGACCGAGGGAACCGGAGCAACAGGTTCACCCCTTCCCGGGTGATAAGGTCCTTGAGCCCGGGCAGCACATCAGCGAAATACCAGCAGGTATCCCAGCTCTTGTCACTGTCTTTAACGTCCCATTCCCTAGATCGGTCGTCCCCAGAAACAAAACGAGGGTTTGGGTTAACAAGGTTGTAGAGCTGGATGAACACAGCAGGCCAAGCAGCATCGGAGAAGCAGGAAAGCTGACGTTTCGGGCCTAGACCCTTCTTCATAAATTAGTCGGGGCTTTAAGGAGGCCTGGTTCCTCCTGTTCAGACGCGGTTGACAACGTTTGTAGGATTTTAGCAGCGGAGTGGTGTCGAGTCAGTGGTCTTTTATCGTAGTTAACAGGAGAGGCCGGACTGCGCTCACAAATTGCACTTGCTGCTGAAACCCATTTGTTTTATTGCTTCGTCGCAAATGAATATGCGTGCGATATTTGCAAATATAACCTAATCACCTTGACAGCGTAATGCAACCATACAAAAGCAGCGACTTTTAAGTTTTTCAGTTGATGCTGTTGTGCTTCCTCTAAATTATTATTCAAAACACCTTCCCTCCCCACTCGTTTTATATAAAAGTGTGTGGAGGTCACTCATAACGGAATCGAAATACCTTATAAGAACAACTCGTATGTACGTTACGTCATCTGCATTTTGAATTATCTTGCAAGGGTACTTTTTTATTAAAGCAATTGTAAGTTGCGAATAAACACCAGCATAGCGAAAAAAAAACAATTTAACTTCACCCAGAGTGATCAAAAAGCTGTATTCTGGGAAATAAGTGAAATTTTGTGATGTGAATTTGGAATGTTTTCCGGACGGATGAGCCGAGGTCAGTGCTTTCCAAACCATTCACCAATATTAGCCCGTTTTAAAGTTCGAAAAGTAACGTCACTCCAGCTGAAACAAAACCAGTAATATCTGGTATATAACTAAAGTAAACATAAGAAAAAATTGTTTTAAAGGCACGTTATAAGAAAATTTTATGAACTCTCAGATATCAAACCAGTTCTATATATTCCCCTGATAGTAGGAACTGCAGATGCTGGAGAATCTGCGATAACAAGGTGTAGAGCTGGATGAACACAGCAGGCCAAGCAGCATCAGAGGAGTAGGAAAGTT